AATTAAAAACAATGTTAAAAAGCTCAAGTCATCACACTTAATATAAAGTTGAGCAATATCTCTCGGACTTTTTAGTCACTGTTTTCTACAGACAAAAAATTGCATTTATAAAGTGGACCATTGCCGTGATCACTCATTTGTAAATATTAGTTAGCATCTGATGTTTTAAAAAATTAATTATTGAATTCTGAAAAAAAATAATTCAATAAAACTGTTGGTGTTTCAGAACAAAAACAAATTCAAAAATCTTTTATTGCATTCAGAAAACTAGAACACATGCATCAATGAATGAACATCCAACTCCATGGGCGTCGGAAGCAAATTGAAAAGGGGGGGGGCTAAACTAACAAAAAAAGGTAAACCCCAATTTTAAATGCATATAACATGTCTATCTTTGCGAACAAAGTGGGGAGGAGGGGAAGCGGAAGCAAATTGAAAAGGTGGGGTTTTTAAACCAACAAAAAAAGGTAAACCCCAATTTTAAATGCATATAACATGTCTATCTTTGCGAACAAAGTGGGATCGAGTAGGGGCTAACACCCACCTCAAACCCCCCCCCCCCCCACCCCCCAGCACACCCGTTCCGACGCTTATGAACTAGACTGAATTTTGCTCCAATTAAAAAAAAAATTATTTATATATCGATCCCATGAATTTAAGGTAAAATTTCAGGTATAATCAGGTTAAATAGAAGATTATAAGATATTGATTTATTCTGAAGAATGGAGAAATCACCTTTACATATTGGAGGGTCGGAATCCCAGGTCCCACTGTTCTGGCACACTGTCTTAGGTTTACCGACGAGATAATATCCATCATAACATTCAAATTCACACTTGCTTCCATATCTTCCATCGTAATCTGTACAAACTCTAATTACGCCATGACCCAGAACAGGACTGGGGCACCGAGTGGCTGCAAAACATATCAGAAAGCGTAATAATCTAATTCACTGATTCATATAAACCAGATGCATGAGAGAGAGAGAGAGAGAGAGAGAGAGAGAGAGAGAGAGAGAGAGAGAGAGAGAGAGAAGGGGGGACCTGTTACATCTATGGTAAAGGAGCACGTTCCCATGTTTCCATCAGAATCATGTGCGTAGTAATCTATTCTGGTGTGACCTTGAAAGGTATCTCCTGGATTCTTGTTTCCTTTTTTATGAACCCTGGGATTTTGAAAAGAAGAAAAAAATCCTGAAATCTGACTCATTTTACAGAAACTTAAGCATGTTATAAAAAAAATTGATAACACAAAATTATGCAATGAAAGTCATAATAAAATAATAATTTTACATTACGTGTCCATTTTTTCCCTGTAAGTCGTGTACTACGACTGAATTTTATATCTTTAATAATTAAAGTCTTACTTGACATTTCCATCCTTAGTATCATTTGCATACGGCTTTTTCCAGAAAACGGTTGTTGTTAACCTCCCTTCGTCTGCCTTTACTGTAATATTTTCTGGACAATTCCAGATTTTGGGACCGATATTGTCAACTGAAATCATTTTATTGATATTCAGAATATGACTTTATTCGTTCCATTACCTGTAAATTACTTTTCGGACAGTATTTTAAAATTCATAGATTTTAGTATAAGTTCAAAATGATGCAAGTAAATAATACAAATAAAAATTTCATATATACATACTTTTAGGACGTTTAAAGAGTGATTGCTCGTTAACCTCCGTCTAGAAGAAAAAAAATCTTTCAATAATACATTACTTTTTCCAGCTTACAATTATATAAAAATGCCAAATTACTCACCAACCCTAATACGCCGTTTGGAAGGTATAAACCACAAATTAAGAGATAACTAAGGATCTCCATAGTGGACGTAAATTCCAACATCAGCGGCTTGTTTACCTTTCACAATGATGCAGCGAGGGCTGAGTGCAGCTTTACATGTTTTTTTTCTGTTAAAATGTTTGAGTGTTTGTTAAGTGCCACAATATGATGTCGATATAAGGGAAACATTTCACGTGTCATTCTAAAAGGGCTCGCTCTTCTTTTGAAGGTAAGTCAGTTCATCATCTTTTTCGCTCAAATCATGTATGACAAAAGAAAAACCTACCAACATACAGTTTTTAATTCAAAACTGCAAATCATATTTTTGAATAGCCAAAATTCAAGAAATTATATAATTATATTATAGAAAATAAAAAATTGTAGAAAATTCTATTTTGTAGAAATAAAAAATTAAAAACCTTTTACAATGATCCTTTTGGATAATAAACTTTCACCAAAATCTACTTTATGTAAAGCTTACTTAATACATTTACTCTGTATTGTATTTATAATGTTCTCTCATAAAACTGATTTTCATCCATCGGATTTAAGTAAGCATTGTTTACTCATTGTAATGTCTAAGGTAAAGATTGTTAACAAAAAAAAAAAAAAACCTAAGATACATGAATTTTAATTTTGATTTAGTGGACAATTGCAGTTACTTTTAAAAAACTTTAAAAAGTGTTTAACCCCAGGGTATATATATGGAACTGTACAACTATTTCTTGTGAATGGTGAGAGCATGCCTTCTTCTAAGGGAAAAAAACATATCACTGATAGGTTTGTGATTTCACAGTCATTTCTGACGAAGTTTCATGAGGTATATTATATGAACTTCATGAATATTCGTCAAAAATCTCAGTGAAATCATATAAACTTAAACTTTTGCAAATCTAGCGCGTCGAAAACTAAATATAACTTTAAACATATGTTTTTCAGTAGACTATTCCAATTGATTCTTATTTATTTTTTCAATTTTTAAAAGATATGGAAACATTAAAAATTCAATAGACGTTACATACAGATGATTGATTTTTTTATGAACTTTGAGAAATGTAGATAAACAAATTTTCATTTTAGAGAAATGAAAGCTTAAGAAATGCATTGCAAACGTTTTTGGTGATTTTGCCAATATGAGTTTTGTTAAGTTTTTTTATTTTTCCCTTCGAGTTAAAAATTGTTCAAGAAAATTTTAACCTCCGATTAATTTGTCCTATTATAAATGATTCAGTTATAATTTTGTGTGAAATTTCAGAATATTGAATATAAAGTTCTGAAAATAAAGGATTGTGCTCTGGAGAAATTAAAGAACGTTCAAAGAACATACTGTTGGGTAAATATAGATAATCATTTACACCATGTGGAAATCAACAGTACTGCTCTTCCTCATTTACATTGACAAAGTAACACTTGGTAAGTATACATGTATATGAATTTATAAGTTAAGCATTAATTCTGATTTTCATAATCATTTGATGATTTTTAATTCTAATTTTTCCAGTTATATATCCTCCATAGTGTGGAATTACAATTTAAAATCTACACCAATTGATATTATTACAATGTCAATCCCGTTCAGAAATATAAATAAAAAAAATGTTTTCACATTTGTCAAACTTAATCTCGATCAAGTTAAAATGTACCGTATAATTGAAATTACTTGCGGCGAGTATCTCTGGTTTACTTCTTTATTCATATTACTCTTTAACAGATTGTGGAGACACTGCTGCTGATATCGTTTTTATTCTGGATTCCAGTGGGAGTGTTGGGGAAGGTAATTTCAACAAAACCAAGGAATTTTTCACGGCAATGGTAGATGGATTTCAAATTGGACCTAAAACCGTAAGAGTTGGAGCTGTGCCTTTCAGCACCTCTGTTCACAACATGTTTCAACTAACATCTTTTTTTTCTAAACCTGCTCTCAAGTCTCATATTTCTAACATCCCTTATGTAAGTGGTGGTACAAATACTGCTGATGCTATAGAGTATGCTCGAACTACAAGCTTTGGGTCGTATGGCAGAAACGATACCCCTAAAATAGCCGTAATCATAACTGACGGAAAGTCGAATGACAAGTCTACTACATTGTCGGAAGCCCAATTATTACGCAACAATGGCGTCATTATCGTCTCTGTCGGTGTAGGTGGCGGTGCAGATATGTCTGAACTTCAGGGAATGGCGACAAAAACTTCATATGTGTTTGATGTGTCTACTTTTAATGCTTTGAATTCCATTCGAGATAAACTAGCAAAAACAACCTGCGAAGGTAACTATATATCGAATATACCGTATAAATAGAATTTTTAGCGAGGAATTAATTTTAGCATTATTAGTGAGAGTGCCGAAATCGCTAAAATTGAATATCGTTAAAATTATTTGCATTTTATATTATTTGTTATAATTTCTTTAACGTGCATTTTAAAATCGCTTACAATAAATTTCCTGTTTTTCAGGAAAAATCGCAAAAATTTGCGTCTCGCTAAAATTTCCACTGATACGGTATGAATCTTTTAATCTATAGATGATGTTGATTAAAACAAATTTATGATAGTATTTATGATATTACTTTTAATAATTACAGCTTGCAAAAGTTGAAGATAATGAACAGTTATCGATCTCCAAAAAAAATTATAAATAATACAAATATGTGAAGAGGGATCCCTTGAATTTCTAGAGACGGGATCAGGCGTATTCATATGAAGCAGAATCTGTCCAAAATCTTATGCGTGAAAAGAATTAAACACTTGCTGTGGCCTTCAATTCGACATTTAGATATACCGACAACGTATTGTCAATTAACAAAAGTAATTTCCATTCTAATGTCGATATGATATATCCTGGTGAGCTAGAGATATAAGATATTAATCCGGACAGATCTGTTTATATTTGGGTATTTTACTTGAAAAAGACGTTAATGGTAATCTAACAACAGAGCTCTTTGATAAAGGTGATAACTTAAACTTTTCTATCCTCAACTTCCCTTACTTAGGCAGTGATATACCTTCATCATATGTACATGGAGTTTATATATCTCAATTGATTCGATACACAAGAGCATGCTTTACATATGAACAATTTCTAAAATGAGATAAATTATTAACAATCAATTTGATAAATCAAGAATATCAGCAGTCCCGTTTTAAGTCATTTTTTAGTTATTTAGTCGTTATAATGACCTTGTCAGCAAATAAAATTTATCTTTGAGTCAAATACTGTCTGCTGTTTTTCATGATAAAACATATGGAGATAACGAACAGTATTCCAGATCAAATTTCATAAACAATACATAAGAGGAGCAGAGCAAACACGGACCTCCAAAATAGCAGGTGCCATGGAGGAGTGAGCATTCTTTGCCGTGCGGTCACACCCTTCGTGTGCTCCCTGGCATGATATCGGTAAATAAATAGTTTTTTCAGTGCGTCGTCTATATATCTAAATTTAAAAGTTTCTCCTTAACTACTTTTAAAATCCTAGTGAGAAGTAAAGAAAGATGCTTGGTTGAACATTTACTGGGACCCGCTATGTAACTTTGTTTGTAAAGATTCTTTTGAAGTATTGGAATCCAGTCTATACCAACTTGCTTGTCAATAATTTACCTCGTTTTAGAAATTGTTCATTCGTAGAGCATGCTCAATCAACTGAGATATAATACTCCGTATGCAGGTGATGAAGGTATATTGCTGCATAAGTAATTAAGGGAAGTTGACGATAGAAAAGTTAAAGTCATCACGTTTATCATATAGCTTGGTTGTTAGATTACCATTAGTGTCTTTTTCAAGTAAAATATCCAAGTATGAAACAGAAGTGTCGGACACTATGGTATCTTTTATCTTAAGCTGACCAGGATATATCGTATCGACGTAGAAATGGTAATTACCATTATTAATTGACAATACGTCGTCGATATATCTTAATGTCGAGTTGAAGGCCAAGGCAAGTGTTTTCTTCTTTTCAAGCATAAGATTTTGCATAAATTCTGCCTCAAATGAATATAAAAATAAGTCTGCTAATAACGGAGCGCAATTTGTACCCATGGGAATTCCAATAGATTGTTGGAGTACCTGGTCTCCGAAAACAACATAGGTATTTTCAATCAGAAACTCAAGCATCTTCTTGATGTCAACTTCAGAGTACATATGTGTGCAATCAGAATCTGTTTTAACAAAATAATTTTGCAAATGACCAATGACGAGGTAAGTAAATTTACGAGTTCCATTTTTATTGAAGAACCAGTTGTCAATGATATCAAAAAGTCTGGATTTTAATTTATCGTGGGGAATTGTTGTGTATAAAGTTGAAAAGTCGTAGGTTTTTAAGCTGTTGATTGTAAAGTCTTGTGATTTCAAATTGTCCAAAAAAGTTCTTAAGAATTTTTTTAGTATCCACATCTGATTCACACCACTTATTGAATATATAGTTGCACAGTAGTTTTGAAGTTTTCCCTTCACTACTGTCAATATCTTAGTGTATATGGTAGTTCAAATTCATTCTGGTTCTTTGGGATATTAAAAATATCAAAACTGACATATGATTCTGAAGAATTTCTGCCTTAGAAAGGGAACTATGAGTAAAAGTAGGATTGCCATTTGTAGAATTAAAACCAAGTTCTTCTAAAACACAATTTATATAATGAGCTTACAATGTTGTTATCTCAAAAACGTAGTCATCATGTATTCTATCTAATTATTTTTTAACTTCTGGAATATTGAATTTAGAAGGACAGATGGTTTTCGTATTGCCCTTCAGTCTTTCAGTGCGCGAATTTCACATGGATATGATGCATTTAATCCATTTTGACAGTGTCATCGTCTTCTTTTTCAAACCTGGCCCATCTCCTGGTGTAATCTTCAACAGAATCCCTAATATTTTTGAACTTCCGACGCCAGTTGAAAGATCTGTGCTCCCTATATTTATGACCTGTTAGAATTAGTGATCGATCTAAGGTACTCATTATTATGTTTATTATGTTTAATATATTCGATATGTAGGATCCCGACATGTAAAGTTTTCTTGTAATTAAAAGGTTTGGAAGCAATGGTCGCTGTGTATTTGTAGGAAATACAAGGTGTAGTCTTTAACTTGAAATATGGTGGAATACAAGACTGGGCCCTTTTAAATGACAAGTGCACTTAAGCAATGCTTAATGGGCCCTTTTTAAGTGCTATTTTACTTGAGAATATTTTACTTAATTGTTTTCTTTTAGTAATTGTTAGATACTAGTGGATATCTCTAATTAAAAAGCACGGTAAGCATCACCTAAATCATCATGGATTTGAAACAATTGAACATTTTTAAATGCCATGGATACCCTAAATCCGGAAAAGTCTTCTTTGACTTTCGTTTATGTAAATTAACGGGAATAGATATTTAAATCGGCACTTGAACAATCTGATGGTGGTTCATAGTCGGGCGCGTTTGCAGAATGAATGTTACTTTTTGCGCGAAATCTGTTTTCAAAAATTGAATGAAGTGTGAAACTGTAACCATAACTATCAAGCTAAGAAATTGGTACTCTTGCATTTCAAAAAAATACAATAATAGTTTCATTGTATTTGAAATTAAAAATGAGAGTTAAGATGGCTTTCAATACCTGTTTCATTGTCTTCCATGAATGTTAAAAATGTTTGAGACTTTTATGAATGGCACTAAACTCTCATTACCCTTCAGTATTCTTAAAAACATATATACTGAAAGGAAAAAGAAACGTAGGGTAACATAATATTCGAAATATTTTGGACCGCATGACCGAGAATTACGAAATTTGGTCAGGTGAGAAATTGTTACTTTGCACCAAAATCAGTGTTCAGAATGACTGAACCGTAAAATGTATGACGTGGCGTAGGGAAAACGCTAAAAAGCATAAACCACGTGCAATTTGATGACAGCGAGTTTGTCAACAAATCTTGTTGCACCATTTGATGCACCTTAGGTACACAAATCGTTTTTCAATATCTAGAGAAGATTCGAATTTCTAGCAATCTTGTTACAGTTTACAGAAGTTCAATGGGGTCTGGTTTTCGAATTTCCCAATTAATGAAAATGGCAACAAGGGGTAACTAAGCAGTTTGTTGTAAAATTTCCCCCAGAAAACTTGTAATCTGCTGTTTTTGTGCCGGTCAACTTACTGTTGTGATCCTCTCACTGGCGCATGCGCGCGTTGTAATCTGCTGTTTTTGTGCCGGTCAACTTACTGTTGTGATCCTCTCACTGGCGCATGCGCACGTTGTTTGACTATCTTTTGGGTGTGGTTACCCATGCCCAATAGACCAGGGTTTCAAAGATAAACACTCTGAAAAATTCCATGCAAAAAAGAAATAAGGCTCTGACTGATGCGCGGAAGAGGCATTGAAGATAATGAGAGTTTTCGATTTTCACCTTTGGGGGGGTACCATCATATGAGCCTCAATAATTCATGAATTACTAGACAAAATCGAATGGATCTTGGTTATATATTTTTGAAAGATTATTTTAAAAGTTAGATAGGAATACGGAAAAAAATTAAAAGAAAAATAAATTTAATTCACCTCAAAAGTTTACCCTGCGTTTCATTTTCCTTTCAGTATACATACAAATATTTTCAAACGGCACGACTTTAACTAAATGATACAAAATCTGCCGGTATTTTACAGTGAGCACCTTTGAGGAATGTTTACCTGGGTAGAACTCACGTGACTATAAGTATTTTAAATAATTTATTCCACACGTGGGTTCAACATTGGTCATACAGGAAACAGATCTCACTTGTTGTAGGAAAAACATTATATTTTTTGTACAGTTTTAATATTTTAAGTACCAGCCTAATCGTGTACAAATATCCTACTTTCACACAAGTTTTATAAATGTATTAAAGCGTCTTTTGTCATTCTCACAAGTTTGTACAAAGTTAGGCTCATAGTAAACAAAAGATTTGAAATGAATGACCGTTCTCGATTTACTATAGAAAATCACAAATGTCTGCTGACCCCTGTCACATTCTATGGTTTTGTTCTTTGTATATTCGTGAATTTCACCGGTAAAATTTGTTGAATCGTACGGTTTATATATCAATTAATAATTTGGGATGAAAAAGTTTGCTTAATTTGATTGTTTATTTTTTCACATTTTGCCAGGGTTCTTTGGGATTAGGAATATTTCTTACATTAACCTTTATTATTAAGAAAAACACGGATAGTTTTAGCTGCATTTTCTTCAGTTAAACGTGCAGGTTTAAAAAGCCTATGAACTCCACAATATCCATAATCACAGATCCGAGTCTATATTCTGATGTCGAGGAATCTAAAAATGGCTTACCTTGACCT